TTTTGGTTAATGTAATGGTTCAACATCTCCATTATCCATGGGCATCATATCTTGCTTGAGTCAAACTGGACAAAGCAAGCAATTCAATGGTTTAGGATTGTACTAATAAAACAACTGAATTCACTGATTATTCCACGTTGCTTTGGTATTATCTATACATTTCACCAACGGAACCATCTTTGGGGAAGCATAATCATTAAATTATGAATTATTTTCTGGATCCTTTGATCCAAACTGAGTAATAAAATGAACTGACCCAAAAAAAGTCATTAATTTCATTTGCTGTTGGGTATTAATAAAATACACTTTTCTTAGAGATGTTCCCCATTCACCTGGGTTAAAGCTATAATGATACAGACTTTCTGACTGAGGAGTGGAGGCCCATCTACCAAGAGACAAAGCTGTGATGCAGAGGCTTCCAACTCAAGGAAAGGCACAAACACAGAACCATGGGAAGGAGACTTTGGTTGAAAGGCAGATGAAATGATATAAATGGATTTTGGATAAATACTAGTGGCCTAGTCCTAAAACATGCTTTTTATTTTCTGTGACAGTGAATGGTATGTGCTTTGAATTACATGTTGACTGCCTTAGTTCCTCAATAGCAATTTCTTAGAGTGGGGCCCTTGGAACATCAAAATTATTAAACATACTAGCTCAAAATTCAGCATCCCTGGCCCTGCTTCAAGTTTTATGAGGCTGACTCTGAAGTCCACATAAGGAGATCTCCTCTTCAAAAAGTGCCACAATGGGTTTTAATGTGTAATGATTACTGAGCAAGAAAGAAAGAAAGAAAGAAAGAAAGAAAGAAAGAAAGAAAGAAAGAAAGAAAGAAAGAAAGAAAGAGAAAAAAATTGCAACAGTGGTCACTCGGGGAAAATCCCCTTTCCAATGTCCTTCGCAAAATGAGAAGAACAAAAATTTCAAAGCAAATACATCACAAAGCTGTGGTTATTGAAGTTGAAGACTCTTCTTTCCACAAGGATAGGGTACAATAATCATTTTTTCTTGAGCTAGAATGATGAAGGCAATATAAATCAAACTCAATCCATCATGTTCCATTTCTTCTAATTTCTTCGCAGATATCCATCATTATATAGTCCCTTACTATTGACACCTAACTCCATTGTAACCCCAAATACACACTGTTCACACTGATTCTTTTCCTAGTGTGTTCTTTTGACACTCTAAAAGAAAATAAATAAATTGGAACAGTGGGCCATCAAGACCGTAAGATGCCAACAGTACCAAGACATTAAAGAGAGAAATGGCCCATGCTAAAACCTATAACTCAGCATGCAAATTGGCAAAAACATTTATCTGCCACAGAGTCACCAGGGGGAAAATAATTCCCTTCATTTTTCCTTAGAAAATTGTTATGTCAAGTAGAGATGACAAAGAATTCATCCTATAAGTTCACAGAAAATGTTTTATTAATTCTAGCAAAGACCAAACATAAGGCCAACATTACTCAGATTGTGTGACAGTGTATCCAGTGGTAGAAGCACCAAGACTCGGCTCTTCTGAGTTAGACTACTCTACTCTACACCAAATTGGAAGATTGACAGCCAAAAAGGAAAAAAAAGTTAAGAGTCAAAATTTGACTTCCTTTGTAGGAACTGTACTGGAGCAATTTTTCAAAATGCTGTATCTGCCATTTCTTTCCCTCCTAGGAGAATGTTATGCTTGGCGGGGGGGGGGGGGGATATTCAAAGGGTTGGAGAGTCTGGAGAAGCAAACACAGCCCCAAATCATAAGCAGGGGTGGCTAAGCGAATGAATAATAAACCGACACCTGCCATCTGTGGGAAAGGATGCTTCTGAATCAAACAAGGACAACGGATGCATGGAAAGTTCCATGTGGTCCGTCTTTTAATCAAGCATTGCTTCAAAATAAGTCAGCTGAAATAGGCATTCCACTATGGAGACATGTTTGTTATTGCACCCCTCCTCCCTTCTAGAAGCTCAGCATGCATGCTTTTCCAGCAGGGTAGCTGTGCTTATGTACAAAGGGATACAACACAGCATAGTTTGGAAGCCACTTCACAAGATCGCTCATAAATATACATCACTGCATTATTTTTCTGAGCGGGCAGTAGTGACCTATGCCTTTAATTCCAGCACTCAGGAGGCAGAGGCAGGTGGATCTCTGTGAGTTTGAGGCCAGCCTAGTCTACAGAGTGAGTTCCAGGATAGGCTCCAAAGCTACAGAGAAACACTGTCTCAAAATAAACAAACAAACCAACAAACAAAACCCAACAGAAGAGGTCACTATAGTATGTTAACATTTGTGTTTTCCTTTCCCTCTGCTATTTGTATTTTTGTTCCCTTCTTAATAGTAGGTAGGAGGACTTTATAAATATGTCCCTGACTTCAGGAGACTCATATCCATTTAGGGAATGATCTCCCCAAATTTATTGGATTTAACATTATAGGATTTCAGAGAAGGCATCCCAAACTAAGTCTCTATACATGTCAAGTTCATTTGACCATCCAGTGATATTCATTTCTTCATAGCAACAATGGACAGCTCCTGTCAAAATCCACATTCAAGAACTGAACTGTACATATATTGCTCTGTCCATAACTGTACTTAGGGCTCTGAAGCCAGGGATAGCAGAGTGCTTAATCTCAGGGATCACTTAGCCAGAGATCTTTTCCAGTGTGCTGAAGACTGCAAGGAACACACTGAATATCTCCTCGCCAAAGGGAACCTAAGACTTTATGTTCTTGGCGCCTCCTCAAAGTCTTCTACTGACTTGGGCTAGATTTCTGAACATGTCCATACCCTCACAAGTGGATGTCAGGCTTTTTTGTCTTTTCTGTTTAAACATTTTACCATGGGGCAGGTGTCACATTACAGGGAGCCCCAAATGAAAGTGATATGTTGTTTTTCAACAGATCTCTACTACTAAGCTTGTTCACTGTGAGCACAAACAGTACCCATGAAGAAAAAAAATGCCTTCATATCATAGCCTGCAGTTGCTCTAAGACTGTGGGTAAGACGTTTCATTTCTTCTGTGGAGATTGTAGCAGTACCTGTGGGTTGATGGCCAGCCCAGTCCTTGAGTGCCTCTCTTTCTTGACACCATTATGATTAAGTGCTAAAATTTAAGAGAACGGACTTTGGCCAGTTTATTCAAACCTCAAATTCTCTGACAGCCCTTTCAGTGAGTCAATGATCATCCGGTCCACAATTCACATCCAGATTCTTCTGACCCATTAAAATCCATAATGCTTCCCAGTATCTTCCATAGTTACTATGATGGTATCTTTGATTTACCATCAAGAGACAGAGACAATGAAGATGCATTAGTAGGGTTCACACACGAAGCTATCTATCAACCATCTGCTAAAATATTAATACACAAAAGAATACTTTCAGAAATGATAATTTTTCTGGCAATTCAGCACCCCAAGGAAACTTTTTCACTTAAATAAAATTTTAAACTTTATCTGAAGCATCAGGACAAGAAAACATTGCCTTATCCTATTACCCACCTGTGTAGTCAAGAATTACAAAAAAAATTCAGAAAGACAACCATATACTAACAGACATCAATAAATCAATGAGGAAATGTTTAAATAATAGATGTACCCTTTAAAAAGTTTTCTTAAAACAAAGAAACTTCTCATTAGATTTTTTTTTCTCCCATAGACACTATCTGGTTGTCTTTATTACTTGTGCTAACTACACACATGTGAGCACGCACACACGCATGCGTGCACACACACACACCAAAAAATTAGGAATGCTTGGCACATTATAGTGACAAATCATTTTTCAGTTACCACTAAGATGTGTGATAAATGCAGAAAATTAAAAGTTGTCTTTGGACATTCATTTAGCACAAGTGAACAAAAGAACTATTGGAAGATTGATAGAAGACAAGAGGCATGTGGGTAGACATTGTTAACAGTTTCTTTTGGACTGTATCTATACAGGTCAGGAGTATATTTTTTAAAAAAGCTTAAAAAGTCAAATTCATAACTTTTGTGTTCCAGCCACCCACATGGGTCCTTACAGACATTACAGAAATGGGTACAGCTAAACCATAGTGTGGCCACAGCCAAACCCCAGGATCCCAAAGGCAACCAAGCCTGTCTACAAGCAAGCAATAATGTACAGGGGTAGTTTAAAGTTCATATGAGAAATTAAGAAGCATGTGGGGGTACAGATCCTCTAAAGCAAGCAAACCGAAGGCTGGATGCATCATCGATTATTGGGTGTTGTTCCTAGCTTCACAACTCATAGGGATGCAAAGAACTTGCCTGAACAAAAGGCCTCATCAATAATATGTGGGCAAGTTAGAGCTCCGAGTCAGGTGGAGAATGGGGATCGTCAATTAAGAATGGAGAAGGCTGAGTGCAGGGCATCTCAAAGCTATGTTTGTGGATGTGAATATCTGCTTGTTGGTTAAACACACACAGTGTTCCACTAGCTCATCCCACTGTCTCCTAACTTAGGGAAAGAGCCCAGCAGTGCAAAGGAGCCCGGGGGTATGTATTTCAAAATAAGAAAGAGAATTTATTGATGGGGGGGGCTAATCAGCGTTAGAAATCATTGCGAAGGGAGGCTGGGAAATCTACCCAGGAGGGTCTTAATGAAGAGGCAGAGGTTCCTTTGTCTGAATGCTCTTGTGGGGGCAGCTGGAAGTGGGATGTCAGTCCTTGGCTGTCCAGGCCCCTGGGTTGTGTGCATCCATTGTGCGTATATACAGACATAGATTGTGCGTGTGGCGCACAAGTGCTCATGCATACGGAGTCAATAGAAACTGGCATGTGGAGATCTAAGTGAAAAAAAATCACACAAATCCACCATTCTCCCTTCACCCCATAAACAAAAGCGAAGACAAAATAATAAAAATCTTGACTCTTTCCCCATCCTTGGCCAAAGGAAGGAGGCAGAATATGAGAGGAAAACAAACATAAAAAATCCGGTTTGGGATACATGAGCCCCAAAGCCTGTGAGCTCCTCAGCTACAGCTTTCACTGTAGGGAAGATTCCCAGCACATGGGATCAAGTCAATAAAAGACAAAGGACAACACAGGAGCTCGCTTCTGGTTCCACGTCTGAAAAGGAATCTACCCTGTGGATTTACACATTAAGGTGAGCTAGTTAAAGTAGGCAGTAGTACATCAACGGACTATTGTGTTCTAACAAATGTGGATCGTTAGTTGATACTTTTCCTTTAACATAGGTGCTCCTTTGGGGAGGTTTATTTCAGAGTGGCGACTACCCGCAGCCCTCCCCTATAGATGATACTTCCGTAAAAGTTCAGACTGCCAAGGATGTTTCCTCTCGGGGAAGCGATCCGGAATCTTTATCTTCAGGAAATCCTGGATGCACTTCTCCAGCTCTTCCTCGATGGAGAGCTTTTCCTTCGCAGCTTTCTTTTTGCTGCTTATGTTCGACTCCCTGGAGCCTGACGTCAGAGTCCTGAGCAGGTCACTTTTCCGCCTCATCTCTGACTGCTGGATCAGCTGCACGGGGCCCTTCTTAATGGGCCGGTCCAGGGTCTGGATGTTGCTCTGGCGCGTTACAGGACCGCAGATCACCGTCTCCTGGGGAGAGCTGGCCTCTGACTGGCTGTCGCAGCTGGAAGTGGAGAGGTCATTGCAGGAGGTGCCGCTCTCCCCTTTGTCTCCCTTGCCGTTCTTGCAGCAGCAATCACAATGAGAGGAGGACCACCTGGAAGGCTCACCTGGAAGGGAAACACAGACCCACAAATGAGTGCCGGCAACTCAGGGTGATGCAGAAGACGAACACGTTAGTGTTCCGAGAATACAGGTATACAATACAATATAATACAATCTCTTCATCCAGAAACTAAGTCATCAAAGGGACATCCATTACTAATAGAAGACTGTGAATCTACTATAATACGGTATCGTGCTGAAGCGCACCAACACTGCACTCAAGAGCCCTAGGTAGAAATATACCCAGGAATTTATCAGTCCTAGGTACCTGACAGATCCAAATTTTTAAGGCTTCAGTTCTACCAGCCGTAAAACCAGGATAATAACTTTCTTAGTAGCTGCAGTCTTGGGGATGGCTTAGATGAAACAAGCAGAATGGAGTAGGTGGCATACAGTAATCCCAGAAAATGTGTGCCAATTTTACGGTGGGTAGCATTGAACCCTCAGCTAAAACTCCACCTGTAGCAGCCAGGATGCAGTAAGAGGCTATCCATATAAGTGGAAATGCATCAGCTAGTGAAGAGGCCTCTGGCCAGCCCCAGCATCTCATTGGTTTTCCATCATCCTAGGGACCGAAGAGCTCCACTTAGCAGTTACATGCATGGAAACACTAAGACCCAGACAGCTTAACAGATGTGCCATGATTTGAATAGCTCGTGAAAGAGCTGGGATTTGAATACAGATGTCCCAAGTGTTACAACCAAGCCAATTAACTGCTTCCTAAAACAAATCGCCTGTCTGTAAAATTCTTGCTTCTCAGACTACTGTTCAAGTGTGAATTTCTCTGACGTCCCTGTACATCTCTCTTAAAAATGTTTGCCTCCTCACAGGTACAACTGTAGCTGTAAGTAACTGAAGTTGTCCCAGCAGCTTCTAAACCACTATCTTCCCAAGATAGACTTGGTGAAAAGTTCATTGTTGTAGGTCTAAGCAATCGCCCAGGGTATAGCAAAGAAACTCAATAATACAAAGCATCTTAGTAAAGAACTTCAAAGTAGCTGGATCAAGCCATGCCTGAAGCTAGTCTTGTCGGTAGACATGTTATAAGATCCATAAATTTTATTCTTAGTTTAAGCCAATATGAGAGCGTCTGTCTCTATCCCCTGAGTGTTGACTCTTAAAAGTAAGTTCAACAGCTTGGAGACAGAGCAATTTTTCAGATACACAGTTGATGGCTCCATAAACTTCGAAAAATCCCCAATCATGGCACAAAAGAACTTTCTCAAGCCTAAGTTATAGTGGCTAACCTTCCAGTCTCCGAGTAGCCCCAAGGCTCCTGGAGTCATTCTATTCACTGATTATTTATTACAGGCTGAGTGTTGTGGAATATTACTTTAAATAGGCAAAGATGTATTACATTTGGTTATACTGCATAATAGTACTTAAACTGTGTAAAAGTGTGTTATAATTATTCATGCTGCATTTGTTTACGGATGAAAGGATGTGTGTTTAATTATGTAAAGATGTGTTGGATCTGTTTCACCTTGCCTGCCTAAGGCACCTCATTGGTCTAATAAAGAGCTGAACTGCCACTAATTAGGCAGAGAGAAAGATAGAAGGCACTGGCAAGCAGAGAGACTAAATAGGAGGAAGAATCAAGGCTCTAGACTCAGGAGAAGGAGAGAAGGGAAAAGAAAGAAAAGAACGAGGGGAAAAGAGAGGGACATGCCCAGGGCAAGAAGTCAGGCAGCCACCAACTAGCCAGCCAGAGAAATAGTGAAGGTAAGATATACAAAGGAAAGAAAATACACCCCAAGGCAAAATAGATAAAGAGAAACAGGTTAATTTAAGTTAAAAGAACTACCCAGAAATGAGCCTATCCTAAACCAAGCTTTCATAACAAATAAGAAGTCTCTGTGTTGTGATTTGGGAGCTGGCTGGTGGTCCAAAAGAGAAAGCCTGGTATAGCTGGGCATTTCAATTCACCAACTTCACTGATGCCATAAAAATATGAAGGAAGACCAATATCCTTATTATTTTGTATAATACATTATATATTATTAATATAGTAGAAAGGTAATGAAATATTTTCTATGATTCTTTAAATCCAGTTTTGATTTTTCTATGACTTATTCTAATAAACAATAGTTATCATTCTCAAAAAAATCTCATTCATTGCCATTTCTAATATGGTCCAAGAAATGAACCTATTAAAAAAGACTTCCTATGTAATGTCTATATTTCACATGTATAAATGATTTTCGCACATGACAAGTAGACTTTTTTTTCTAGAGGAAATAAAAATATTTTTCTCTAAATCACAGCCCCAGAATCCCTAACTTTTACACACTCATCCAGTCCAGTCACTTTCTAACATATGACTGAGTAATCATTGTGCCTATAGAGCTATTAAATTAAATGCAGCAATCCAATTAGCCAAAAGGAATCATAATAGCAGCAATGCCATAGCCATTCTCAGTTATTACAAATAAATACATTCTGCGTGACAGCGAAACCGCTTGTGCTTAGAAACGCTTGCAATACCGAGGGCTTTCCGTCTGCCAGGGGACTGAGGACAACAGTTCTCAGGTCTTGTCGGCAGAAGCTGCCTCAGCTGCTGGACACTGGAGTCATTCTTTACTAATACAACTCACAGTGGGGTAATTCCATTGAATTGGACTAAATAAAAGTAATCACTTCAGAGCAGAGTTTATCTAACCTGGTTCACTGGAGAATGTTTAGAAATTAAATTTAGCATTGAGAAAGAGAAGAGGAAAGAAAGGAATAGAAGGATAAGGAAGGGAAATGCAGGCAAGAGGCAGGGAGCACACACACATACACACACACACATTATTTGGAACATACTTGTCTATTACCATAAAACAAGGTAACAAAACACTTGAACAAGCAACCCCACTGAGTCAATAGAAACGTATGTTCCAGCCCAGAAATTGTCTTCCCCAGGGAAGTCCCCCCAGTCACCAAGTTCCAAAGGAAATCTGCATCTTCTTAAGCAGCACCCACACCCGTATGTGCTCAATCCCTGTGCATTCATGTGCAGCCTTGCACTGCATGGCACGCGAGGGACCTGGCACTACTGAAGCTTGTTTCCCAAAGCTGCAAGGACAGTCCTGCATTTCAGTGTCATCTGGGATCTCTAGCTTCCAGGCACGTAGAATTATTACCTTCCATTCAGTCCGGGTACTATCACTCTTACAAGGAAATTGAACAACTTAATTTTAATGTAGCTTGTCACTACTAACGCATTTATATCTCGCAAGAACATTTGAATATTTTACCACTTTGGCAAGACAATTTATAAAATGGCTCCTGAAGTCTTTATACTGTTTTGAAACCAAGGAAGCAGATGGGATTAATACAATCCAAACAGAGCCAGTATGAAATTTGAAAATAGTCATGTAGAACAGAGAAGCCCACTACCTTTTTCTTGGACGCACTGTGTCCAACCACTCTCCTCCCAAGAATGTAACTGGAGCAAAGGAGGGAGACTCAGCAGAAGGGGCTGCCAGCGCAAGGCCCCTTGCCCTTGCGGTCCCTCTGAGGCATGCTGACAAATGTTAAGAAACCGTGAAAGACCTGTGCAAAGTCAACTCTGCAGTGTAAAGTATTCTAGGATCTTCCCCATAATGGAGAAGAGCAGACTCACAAATACCCCAGTGCTCACTTCTAATCTGTGAGGTTGCAGCACTGGTTGGAATCTTTGAATTTAGCAAGGAAGCAGGTTAGAACTGATGAGTCGGATACGGGGAGGAAATCATTTCTTCCAGAGAAAAGCCTCACTTAAGGGTGTGCGAAAGAGAAGAAAACCCATTGCCCTGTGAAGGATTATTAATTAATCGCTGGACCTAAAGTTCTGCAATGCCACTTTGCTTTGTTCTAGAACTCATTTCTGAGTTTGAGGGCTTCTGTGACAATTTCGGATATACTCCATTCATTCAAATATATTGGTTAATACTGCAAGTCAGACCTCAATCTCCATAAACATCCCAAATGGAAATTTTACTGATATAATGATGATTCTGCTACAACTGTACTGTGCAATCAATATTTATTGATGGCCTAAGTGTCTCATTAGAAAGGACACTGTAGCCACAGCTGGACACAGTAGAAAAATGCTAACTGAGTATCTGGTAATGCCTGACTTGGCATTGAAAGGGATACTAATGACCAGCACTAAGAGTATATGGCAGGTACTGTGTGACCAGATATAGTTCTGGAAGGATGGAGTCTTCCAGTGTAGTGCTTAAAAGTTAACATGTAGATGAGTCGTCCAGAATACAAATTCACTTGGATATGCAGGACAGGGATAACTTTGTGTTTTAAATTAAATGCAGGGAAAATGAGAAAATCAGCTTTCCAAATATCTACATGCAAATCTTCCAATAGTTTACATCTCTGCCACATCAAGAACCAATCAGGCAGATGGTATGACTGAGGTGCCCCAGCTTCACAGAGCCTTAGTGGTAATAAGTAGGAGAGGAAAGCCTATGAGAGATGCCTCCTCCATGAAAAATTCAAGGCCAGCTGAGTGAGGCATGACTTAGCAAACTCACAAAGTGCTTATGCATTTTTAAAGGAGGCATCTCTGTAATCTACCCGCACTTCAAATTCTCCACCTGCTAATGGCCATGAGTACAATGCACTTCATTACAGAAGCTGCTGCGAGAGCTGGTCCTCCACGGCTTCTCCATCAATGGTGTCGGAGCCTCGCAGTCTGGGAGAGAGGTGGCCAGATTTAATTTATCAAGGCTGCTAAAAGACACTCTTGGTCTCACAGCTGAAAAGTCGATAATGAGCAAATTGATGTTTTCCTAATTCTGATAACCTTTGAAGATACATTGAATGGTGGAGATTAGGGATAGGCAGGCTGTGAAAACTCCTGGACAAAAAGAGTCCTTAAGCTTGACAATCATCATTTCTTGCTTCTGGCAGACCTTTCCTTCACTCGAGGGCATCTAGTGTTGGGTAGGCCCAGCTGGGACCTCAATTTAAGAGGTGGTGTATATGAACAAGAAAAGATAATTAAGACATCCACACATCAGTC